TGATGCGTGCTCCACATGTACCGGGACTTGGCTCGTGTCGCCATCCATGGATCTGAGCGAAGTTCCTACTGGTCTTGGGTTGTTGCGTAGATGACAATAACCGTGTGTTCACGGGTAACATGTCTTAAGTACATGCGAACCTTGACTCGAGTGCACAAGACAATATTAGGATGGGAGTGAAATATCAAGACAACGGTGAAGTAGCTGGTGGCTTAAGGCTCAATCTTCATGTTTCGATACAACGGCTTCCTGTCTGACTTTCATCCTCTCTTCGGCGCTGTCGCGAAAATCTTCTTCAGTCGATCGTCCAGCCACTTTACATCGTCGAAGTTTCCTGGGGGGCCTCCCGCCCAATGTCCCCAAATGGACGGGTAGATACCCAGTTCTCCTACACCATCGCTCATGCAAGCAACCTCGTATTCAGAATCTTCCGGTCTGCAAAGAGTTAGCTTTTGGGCATGATGACCGGGGCAAGGGGGTACTCACGGGAAGTAGAGATCGGTCTTGGAAGGCAGCACCAATGTCTTCGCTTTGATGGCCGCCATCGCCTTTTTGAAGTCGCCGTTGTACGGCTCTTGCTTACTCACGTCGCCGCTCTGCCAAGTCTGGAGCATGACAAGCAAGTTCTCCGGATCCTTGCTCAAAGCCCACTTCTCCCAGAAGGTGACTAAAAACTCTTCGAGATCCTTTGCCTTGTAATGCTCCTTGTACAGCTCATGTCGATAAAACGCTTGAGAGAATCCCCAGCCCGCGTAGCCACGGCCAAAGGCCTTCAAGCCAACCTCCTTCTCCTCATCAGACCAGATGCGAAAGCTCTTCTTTTGTTCAGCAGTCTCGACGCGTCCCTTTGCACTCCCTGCGGAGCTGGTCTTCTTGGCAGCTAACAGGGCTGTTTTGACTCCTTCCAAAAAGACCTGGTTATGCAGCGCGGTCTTGGCGGCACCGCAAAAGGGAACACAGATGTCCGTGAAGTCAGGATACTGCGTCGCCCATTGGAAAGACTGTGCCGCACCCATGGACCATCCCAAGACCGCCCTAATGTGCTTGATCTTGAGTTCCTTCGTGACGAGCTCATACTGGGCTCGGACATTATCGTAAAAGGTCACGTCAGGAAATGGGCTGACGTCGGAGTTGGAGGGACTGATGGATTGGCCGTTACCGAAGAGCGCCGGAATGATGATGAAGTAGTCCTTCGGGTTCAGGGTTTTGTCGTCGCCGACCAGCCATTCGTTGTCCGCAATCGCTCCCGAATACCAAGTTGGATACACAACGGCTGGGAGGGAAGGGTCGCCAAAGGTCTTATAAGCGATCCAGGCACTAGGTAGAACCTCGCCACTCTGAAGCTGGAAATCTCCAAGGGTGTACTTCTTGATCTCGGACATTTTCACGATGCTCCTGTTCAATCAGAGAGCCAAATCTCCAATCAGAATTATACTGATTTATACTCGAGGTGGTCCTGTTTGCGAAAGAGGGGATTTAGATAGCACTGGGCTTTTAAGGCGTTGCCTTAGTCAGTAAATCTTATCATGTGCCATCGACGCCAGGCGGTTGAAAACGGAAACCAACGGTTGGCTACCCCAACTTCATACCCCTCATCGTTATCATGCACGCTGATGTCAAACTGTCAAGGACGCCCTACCCTATCATCACTGATAAGAAGAGTGTGTTATCAGCAATCTGTGGATGTAGATTTTATCCGTAGTGCAACAAGCAGGAGGCGCATTCATTAGTCCTGGTAGACTTGAAATTTTCAATCGACAGTAATGCAGAAGCCCGCCAATTGTATTGGTTCGAAACAGGTTATCAATGCCGAATTGGGACCAGCGAATGAAATCTGAGATCTAGTTGATACGGCGGACCACTGATCGATCCCCTACTAATCCTGAGAATCGTTAGATGTTCGTTTCTAGGCTGAGTTGCTGGTCGTTCTGCTTGACACTCAATATTGAACTCTTGAGTGAAGCAATTGACCTTCGTGCTACTGCAAACTACCTAGCTGTCAACTGAAGCGCTAGTTGCTGCGACAACTCCACCCACATTTTCATTCGCCGAGTGACTCACGCAACGAGCCCGTCTCACAAAAACGTCGACTTCGGCTCGTTAAAAATTGCAAATTGAATTCACTACACGCTACTAGAAGAATATCATAGCATTAAGCTTTCAAATCTCCAGAAATTGTAAGTCTGATCATCTGAGGCAGAGAACGCCACAAGAACCAAAGCTCACAGGTTCCTTTAAACAGTCATCATGTCTTCCGAAAAGCGATCAGTCGTTGTCGTCTCGTCGAAAAATCCCGTCAAAATCAATGCCGCAAAGCAAGGCTTCGAATTGGCTCTCGTCGGCGATTTCGAGTTCAAGGGAGTCAGCGTCCCCTCCGGTGTCCCCGACCAACCGCTTTCGGACAAGGAGACGCTCCTGGGAGCTTTGACTCGGGTGCGGAACGCGCAAGAGGTTGAGAAGGATGCAGACTATTGGGTCGGAATTGAAGGAGGCGTCGAAGTCCCGGAAGATGCAAACGGCGCGTATCTTAACTTTGCATGGATCGTGGTTGCAAATCGCGAGGGAAAGGTGGGCAAGGCACGCAGTGCAGCCTATTATCTGCCGGAAGAATCAGCCAACTATCTGCGCCAGGGAATGGAACTGGGACATGCCGATGATGCAGTGTTTGGTCACGTCAACTCGAAGCAGACGAGAGGTTCAGTCGGCCTGTTGACTGATGATTTGATTGACCGGACAAAGTACTACAGCCATGCTATGATCCTGGCATTGATCCCTTTCAAGAACAGCAAATTGACATTTGTTTAAATCAATTTGAGAAATTTGTCCAATGAAGGCGCTGTGGTCGTTGAAACCACATCAAACTTCTATGATTACGGTCCCAAACCTCAAGCTGTTGGAGAGACTGAATTTGCCGATGCGAGGCCATGTTCATCGGCAGATATATCGTTCGTCATTCACAGAACCAGGCATGGCTTTAGGGTATCTGAGTAATCCTTCCATATCTATGTGCACGGCTTCTCTGACCAAATGGAGCCGACAACCTGTAACTATCGCGGTCGCAGATTCCTATAAGATACTGTCCCCCAGTAGCTACTGCAAATTTGCTGCTGTTCAATACACCAGGTATCTTTCTATGCGGTCAATAGAAGTGTCTTGCCTCGTACGAGATCATTGCCCGCCCACGGGCTGAAAACATGATGTACGAGCCATTGTTTGCATAGACTGAGGCTGTATCATCCAGTGGGTAAAACTTCCAAGCGTATCCTGCTGCTACGCCACTTAGTATGATACCGCTGCCCCATTTTTTTGGCCTTGCCGTCAAGTTTTGGTCCTAGCATGAGCCGTTAGCTATATCGTGCGCATTTTCGTATTTGAGTGTGAATTTTCGTATCCAGACATGCCACGATTAGAAGTGGCCCATCTTTCTTGTTCATGCAGATCTACCTCGTTTAGGTCCGAGTACGCGCTCTTTGGAAATTCGATCCTGAAATTTAGTCTAATTTGGCGAACTTCTAGAGCACTCGCCTTGGCTTAAAAGCGCTCGCGTAGTTCTTCCAGATCCAGCATGATTCGTAGAAACCTTTGTCACCTAAACCGTCACCAAGCGAGTAATCATCGAGCATCTTATTTTATTGCATTGATCATGTCAGTTATTTACAACAAGACAGAACCTCCATTTGGTCCAATTGTCAATGGAACTCAAATCGTTTTCTTTGAATACCTCCCGAACGAAGCAGCTGCTTGGATATTCGTCGTCTTGTTCTTCCTCGCTGCTGTCGTCCATCTGGGCCTTTTAGTGTGGCTGAGGGCATGGCACTTTTTGCCCCTCACTCTTGGGGCTGTCGGTTCGTTGTCACGAGTGTCATTACATGTGTTCACTTCTCTAACTGGACCCCTATCTAGGTGAGGGCTTTGGCTACTATGGACGCGTTCAGGCACACAAAACACCCAACGTTGCGGGCCCATTTATTCTGCAAAACATCTTGATCTTGGGATGCGCACCGCTGATCGCCGCCACTGTCTATATGACTCTCGGAAGATACATCAGAGTTTTCCAGTTGAGAGGTTGTATTGTTATCCCACCACGACTGATGACGTTCGTCTTTGTCACTGTTGATCTGGGTTGCTTCGTAACTCAAGTCTTTGGCTCGGCCGCGCCAGCTTCGGGCGATCCTCAAGGCATTGCACTTGGTAAAACGTTGATTATATCAGGCTTGATTACACAGCTTGCAGCTTTGTGTCTCTTCCTGATCATGACTCTGGTTTCCGACAGACTAGCGAAGAACAGCAGATCACAAGACTACAAGGCCAGCTCGATAGCCGACTCTGCTCCGAGATATTTTCAGGTTACATACTGGGTCGCTGGAGCGATGTTGCTCCGCAGTCTTGTTAGAGGCATCGAGTATCTTCAGGGAGATGGGGGGTTCATTATGTCGCACGAAGCTTTTGTTTATGTCCTGGACGGCGTGCCGATGATATTCGTCGCAGCCGTGTACGTTTTCGTTCACCCTGGAATGCTTCTTCGGGATGCAGCTCGAGTGGGAGGAACAGAAGAGCACCAAGAACTCGCGAGTTATCGCCGAATGTCTGCTTGAGCAAGAAACATGTAATCCTAATTCATAGAGTCTGTCAAAATCCGAAAGCTTACTGGAGGTATGATGAATTATAAATGGCTAAATTTAGAAATGCCCCAAATTTCAGATCCGAGTAGCCGACATGTATTCAGTTCAGACTCAAGAAGCCGACTTGACTAGGGCAAACAAAAAGCTGTTAATTGGCCTCAAATCAGCCTGAGGCTCGTCAAGCACTATTACTTACTCATTTTTGTTCGGGAAATAACCTTTTTGGTGACTCGGTAACAATTCTTTAGCCCCGAGATTTGAGCACTGTAGTACCGGCAAGATTTGGTGCTTGTTCAGAAGAACAAGGATAACGGCACAGACATCATAGACATGTTGTGTCAGTGGCATGGACGATATTCAAAATTTTGAGTGACTCTCCTAGCACTCGGGGTATCAGGGGACTCATGCCGAATGGTGATGGCCAAGCTTTCGGTGAACCCATAAACTTGCCGCACGCCTAGTCGACATCCGAAGGACCGAAGCAGGTGAGCTAAAGCTTAGAATTCACTTGTTAATCAGAAAAGGAATCGGATATTATTGGATCAAAAGTAAAAGGCAGTGTCGCTACAGCGCTCCGAGCTCCAATTACACTGACCGCAGTGCTGCTGAGGAAATGCCCCCCCTGATTCATGACCCCTTAGCACGGTGATTCGTCCATACCCCCTTCGCTCCTCAATTTTCCCTCAAGCTAGGTAAATATCTTATTGGTCTGGTCGGTACTCCCCATCAGCAGCCGCATTGAACGAGAAGTTGATCAATGTGTAGTGTTACTTACCTCTGCAACCACGTCGTAGCACATGGCCCATTTCGTGTATTGGGGTGTCATTCTTGGAGCATTCTCGTCCATTTGAATGCTTTCCCAGTCCGTTGGCTTTCCAGTGAAACCCGTCGCTAAGAGTTTCTGATCTCTAGCTTCTTGCTCCGGGCCATCTGGAAGCGTGAACATGGCGATATTCTGGTGGCCGACATCAAACATCTTCTCAGCGCGTGGCTTTCTGAGGGCCTCCCATTTCCCCAAAACGGCGGACAGGTTTTCCCGTTTGTCGAGCCAGCGGAGGGCTGTACTCAGGGCCAAGCCATCCTCTATGCCTTGGCTCACTCCCTGAGCAGTATGCGGCAACATGGCATGCGCAGCATCCCCCAGAAGAATGCAGCGTCCCCCGAGTCCCAGCCAGGTTTCCATCTTTGGTGCTGTGGCAATGTGCCACTTGTCGATGGGGTAGCCCCCACGTATCACACACTCGATGTAGGCACGCAGCGGCGCACCGAACCCTTGGAACATTTCACGGATCTCTTCAGGGTTGCCGTCCGAATTCCAAGTTCCACCTAAATCCGCATCTTCGGATGGGAGTCCATAATTCAGATTGCATAGAAGGATGCGAACGGTGCCATGAGCTGTCGGCCGACCGACGCAGTAAAGTCCGGGGCCGAACATGAGATGGTGCGAGCGAACGCCCAGCGGAGCGGCCACTGGGTCTTTCTGTACCCTGCCGATATCAACCTCTGTCTGGAAGATGCACTCGGGTGTCATGATAGGACTCATGTTATGTCCAGGAAACATGAGCTCCCGGACGCGTGACTTAATACCGTCGGCGCCAATCACCATGTCAGCCAAGTACTCGGTGCCATCCTCCGCCACCACTAGAATTTTGTCGTTCTGCTCCTCGATGATTTTGAAGACAGGTTTCTTAAACAGATATTTGGCTCCAGCGTTGATGGCAGCTTCATATGTGATTCGCTGCAGTGATGGCCTGTCGGTAGGCTTTCGGGTCGTCCCATCGGGAATTGCCTTTGTTTCCGTGAATGGCGCATCGTCTTTCCATCTCCATAGAAATTCACTGGCTGTTTCCACAGCTACCTTGTCCAGAGATTCTGAAACACCGATCAGGTTGAGGCATTTCACGGCGGAGGGCTGGACGATGAGGTTCCCTCCACGAGTTTGGAGTTGCGAGTTGCGTTCGAGGACAGTTACTTGATGCCCGTCAGAAGCCAAAGCGGCCGCCGCCGTATTCCCGGCTGGCCCGGCTCCAACGATAATGATTGTTATCGAAACTTGCGAGGGCATGTTGACTCGGTCAGTATTGATGGCCCATGGACGACACCTCAGCAGGTCAACGAGAGTGTTTTCTCCCCAGGATAGACGATAGATCAGGCTCCAGAGAGGCCGCAACTAGGTATAAATAATTATATTGCGCGTTGAATATTTGTTGACTACAGAGTTCATCCGAAGGCACGGCTTTCTAAATCGCCGAAGTCCGTTGAGAAAGGTTTGCTAGTGTGATTGAACTATGGGATAGAGTTCTGCTAGGCACGATATCTATTAGTCTCTTATGACAGGGTACATGGCATGACTTATTACGTGCCTAAATGTTTCTGCAAGACCACCCTGAATTCGCCGAAGTCCCCCGCCATAGTCAGGTAGTAGTTACCCGCCTCGGTCTGCGCGCGGTTATTGTGCGTCCTGTCGGCTACCAAAGAACAAGCCTTCATCATTCGAACTCTTCCGATCGATGGGGTTGAGTATTAGGTTCATCTTGTAGTTCATCTGCTGCTGCACAGCTTAGGCAAAGTTTGGTATTGTTTACGATGAGACCTTGGGCCAAGGTTTATCAACCGCGGGGAACTTAAGAATTCCACTGGCAAGTCTTCATATTATCAAGAAGGTGATTCTCGTCAAAATTAGTGAGCGTGGGGATAAAAAGGCAGCACTGGCTGCACTACGATGGATATGTCGGTTCAACCAACTAACCAATAGCGAATCATACTTGGTCATCGTTCTTGGGAGCCGTGCATTTCATTGGAGCAAGTCCTTCAGTATGCATGGACCGATGGAAGAAAAGGTCGGGCTCATTGAGACACGGGACCATTCATCAGGAACGAGAAGCATACTGCAGGCAGTGCCGTAAACCCCCTGGGTGAGTGAAGGGGATTCAAGGCTGATCCTGCAGATCTGATGTTTCCTACTTTCTGGACGAACTGGAGATGGTGGGGGGTTCTCCTGGGCAAGACGCGTTGGCAGCCTCGCTTCCCCATACCCCAGCCGAGTTCCCAGCTAAGAAAATCAAGACGTTTCTACCACCTCCCGATGATTTTAGGCCATGGGAAGAAACCTTGAATCATCAAAAGACCTGAGATCTGGTACCATTCGTGACCACTGACGAGGATATCTGCCAAATTAAGGCCCTAGTACAGAGCAACGACGTGATTGCGCTATCAAATTTCGCCAAGGGGTTCTTCTAGTATCAAGCTATCCAACGACCTCCAAACGGCGTTGTACGATTCGAATTTTTTAAATACACGCCAATTGCGCGTCTCTGGAATTTTTGTTAGGGGCGGGAAAAAGGAATTGAGCCAAACAGGCTCTAAAACCAAGACTGCCAAGCGGGAGGTCCGCATATGTTTGACTTGGAAGTGGAGGGACAAGATATCGTGGATATCAAACCCCCACCGCTAGCCAACTAGAGAAATAAGCTTAAACTTGGCCAACGTCATCCATCCATGTCGCCGAGAATAAAAGGTCTTGACATTTCAGCTGACTGCACTCGATCATTTCTTTCAATGTCTTGGTTCGCCCAGCCTCGGGTTACCGTCTTTGGCAACCCGTACGGGAGAATGCCGCTACACCGTCGTCTATTCGGACTCGGCGTTGGTTATGATATCCACATCAAGCCGAAATCTCACCACCAACTGGTGACCTGCAAGCAGTTTTTGAGGCTCGTCGGTTGGCCAACTTCTTGTTTGAGGAGTTCCTAAGGCATTATCTCTTTGGCTTGGCCATTTTTTCCTGGGAGCCCAAGAAATGCAGGGTTCCTTTGATCGTCGCTGCTGAGTGGGCAAGAGCCGGAAACTTTTCGCGCCCGTGTGGCTACTCGACCTTTGAAGTCAAGCGGAAGGCCGTACTTCGGGCTTTTCTCCGCGGCTGACTAGAAATTCGGACCAACACCGCCAACACCCAAGAACACCAAGAACACCAAGACGCGATTCTGGAGCTATTTGTGGATATTGTTGGTAGACCTCGAGCCGCATGTTCAATTCTGTTTGCGCCTGCTCGCCCACACACATCCCAAATGACCTCAGCCAAGTCATCCTTCATCGGGGACTGTCTCATTGAGCCCCACGATGCCGGTGCAAAGCAACACTCTAGGTGAGAAGTGAGCGAGTACAAGACGCGCATCGTCCCCAAGCCACGTTTTCTCCAAGACCTGCCCAGTCTTGGTGGGATCATCCTTCTTTTCCTCTTTCCCACACCATCGCGGACGTGCATGATCATGGCCGAGAAGCAAGAGAAACAACAACGCTCAGGCGAGAGCGGGAGCCCAAGCCCCTCTTCGTCCGCCGACAGCGGTCGCGTGGTGAACGAGAAGCCCAGATCTCAGGGAGGCTTTTTGTCCAGGCTTGGCGATCTTCCCGAGTTGAAGTTTCGCGGCAAGCTTCTCGAGGGCCAGACTCTGAACTGGTGCATCGGTTTCATAGCGAGTTGCGGGTTTCTGATGTTCGGCTACGACCAGGGCGTATTGAGCTCCCTCCTCACCCTGGATGATTTTCAGAAGAGTATCGTGTTGATGACTCCACTGGAAAAGTCAAATCCCCTGTGCTGGCTCGATTATCCCGAAAGCACGCAGCGTGATTACAGCCAATGCACTGGAGACCCCAACACACAGGCTGCTGCCGTGGCTGTCTATCAGATCGGATGTTTCTTGGGCGCGCTTCTCATTCTCTTCAAAGGAGAGACGTGGGGTCGCAAGTCTTCTACTTTCTGGGGCAGTGCTATCATGGTCATCAGCACCGTCATGCAGGCCGGCTCTCACGAGTAGTACGTTGTGTCCCTCATCTCCATCGCAGACACGATGCTGACATGATGCAAGCATTCTTTTCTCTCTTTCCAGAGTCCTTGGCGGAATTGGAAATGGCATGGTAACCTCGAGTAAGCTTCCTATCTTGACTGGGTTGTCACTAGCATAGCTAACAGGCCTGCAGCAATTCCCACATGGCAATCTGAGTGCGCACGACCTCATCAGCGTGGATTTCTCATCACCCTTTCCGGAGCTCTCATCTCTGGAGGCATTATGATTGCTTACTGGGTGAGTAATCTCTCTATCCCCTTGTAACCTCTCTGATTCTAATCTCGTAATTATCTAGGTTGACTATGGCTTTTACTTCCTTGAGGGATCGATTCGCTGGCGGTTTCCGATCGCTTTCCAGTCCTTCTTCACTATCATCGTGATGATTGGTCTTCTCTATCTCCCCGATTCACCCCGATGGCTCGCGATGAAGGGCCGCACCGAAGAAGCCCGTGCGGTGACGGCGCGCCTGCTCGGCAAGCCTATTGATCATGAAGATGTCACCACGGAAGTCAAGGCTATCAAGGAGGCCCTCGAAGTCCAAAGTCAGGGTGGTGGCTTCCAGTACAAGGAGCTTCTCACTAACGGGCCGTCTCAAAACCTTCGTCGAACGCTACTCGGAATTGCCGCGCAATTCTTCCAACAGATTTGCGGTATCAACCTCATCACTTACTACGCTGGCTTCCTCTTTGAGAACTCTCTTGGATTTGGCCCCGAGCTGTCGCGGCTTCTCGCAGCTGCAAACGGCACTGAGTACTTCCTGGCGTCGCTCGTTGCACTGCCCCTCATTGAGAGGACTGGTCGACGGAAGCTCATGCTCTTCGGTGCCTTTGGCATGATGGCATCCATGGCTATCCTGGCTGGTACCGTCTCTACAGGTACTGTCGCAGACAACGGGGCACCTAACCTCGAGACCCGTTACGGTGTAACGGCCACCGTCTTCCTCTTTGTCTTCAACTCGTTCTTCGCAATCGGTAAGTACTTCATGCAAGCATACACCATCGCAGTCGCTAACATATGTGAAGGCTGGCTCGGCATGACATGGCTGTACCCCGCCGAAATCACCAACCTCCGCATTCGCATCCAAGCCAACGCCCTGTCGACCTGCTCCAACTGGCTTTCCAACTTCCTGATCGTCATGATTACCCCTCCTGCCTTTGCCAACTTGGGATACAAGACATATGTCATGTTTGCCGTCTTCAACGCGGCCATCATTCCTTGCGTCTGGCTATTTTTCCCTGAGCCCAAGGGCCGGAGTCTGGAGGAGTTGGATGTTATCTTTGCCAGCGCGCACGCTGACGGCGTCAACCCTGTCAAGCGTGCGAAGGAAATGCGACACATTGAGGGTAACGAGCTTGAAGGCGAGCTTGACAAGTATTTCGGGTCCAGTGAGGAGGTTGAAGATGCCCGTCCCATGACGCGCCCGATGACTGGGCACAGTCATCAAACAAGACATTGAGTGCCGCATACTCGCAATTCACGGTCTCAATAGCAGTGCATGCTGCCAATTAGATCTCTAAATAGTTAGTTTCTTGACGAACTGGAATTCAACTACTCGCACAAACGCTTCTTCCGTCCATTCTTTTGTGAGAAGCATCATGTTCATGTGAGAAGTCGAGATTAAGATGAACACAGGAGCCTTTGCCACGCTTAAGTCAGGTATTGCCATTGATCGACGATAGAGCCAGCCGGTCCAAGAATATACATACACATAATGAAGCTAGCATTTGATCATTGTATTGAGACTGTGCAACCTTTGCATTATGACAATGTTTGAAAGCACACGGGAGCGAAAATCGGACTTCTTTCATGTAGTCTGAACAGCAAATAAAGGCAATGTTCTTGCAAGGGCTGAACTTCCAGCCAGGACAACTGCTTTATTGGTTCAAACTTACCCAATAGCATTGTGATGTCGAGTTCAAAAGGCTCAAGTCCTTTGATGTCTTCGTGGTCCCCTTTCCAAACGCCGACACAGTGTCTCTTGTGTGGATGAGGCGCAGCGATTCGAACAATGCCTTCTTCTTCTGCCTTAGTCGACAATGAAGCCAATTGTTCATGCAAGACAGAGAAGGCGATATCCTCATTGTGATTCGCAGTCACTATAAGAGTAGTCTTGTGGTATTGACTCGAGATAAGTCCAGCAAATCGTGCCAGTACAGAAAACCCACAGCAGCAACAAACAATATCACACAACATTCAGCAATCTTTCGTCTCAGAACTTCGATACGATTTACGTCTTATCATCAGGCAAAACGAAGCTCACAACATGCCAGGATACAATATTAAACTAGAGGTAGAGGATGACAACATTCGGATGGAAGATATTGAAGAACAGCCCCGAAGCTTTCTCAGAGCAATCCTCTCTTCCATCGCGAACATTCCTATGGTATACATTAACTTCATCCGAAACAACCCTCACTTCATACTCTTTCTGATCTGCGTTACATGTAACGTATGGTACTTCTGGGATACGATAATCTACTACAGTGAATTACTCGAGGATGTTGACCGCGATACTTGGATTGCCGCATTTGTCTGGGTTTTCATCGCACGGTACTACCGTTTTGCAGTCGGCTTCTGGGGGTTTCACATTTACAAACCCTCGCCTATGCAGTCGCGAGAGCTCTGGACATCCAGAGATGTCACGGTCATCCTCCCCACGATCGATCCCGACAACCCCAAGTTCGCCGAGTGCATACTCTCAATTCTGGAGAACAGGCCGGCCGCAATCCTTGTCGTTACCGTCGGAGCCGCCATGCGCCAGCGGTGTGACGACTTTCTCGAACGCTTCCGTCAAGAGTATCCAATGACACGAATCGGCGTTAGCGCGATCCCGCACCCCTCTAAGCGCCGACAAGTCGCTCATGCCGTACCCAGAGTCGAAACCGAGTTCACAATTCTCGCCGACGACCACGTCTTCTGGCCCAGCAAAGACTTCATCCCCCACTCTCTCGCGCCCTTTGAGAGCCCAACCATGGGTGTGGTAGCCACCTACAAGTGCGTCCGGCGTACAAGTCCTGGTAAGTTCTGGAGCATGTCTTCGATCATTAACTTCATCGGCTGTCTCTACCTCGAGCGCCACAACTACGAGCTCAGGGCCTCCAACGGCATGGACGGCGGTGTCTTTGTGGTCTCTGGCCGCACCGCCATCTACCGCAGCAGGTTTCTCAAAGCCGACGGCTTGATGCATCGGTTCTGTAACGAGAAATTCTTCTTTGGTCTTTTCGGCGGTAAGGAAGGCCTCGGGCCGGATGACGACAACTTTCTCACCCGCGAAGCTTACAAGCACGACTGGGACATCAAGTTCCAGCAGACGGACGAATGCACCATCTGGACCACGATCGGCGACGAGTCAGTCAGCAAGTTCCGTGGTCAACTCATCCGTTGGGCTAGGACCACGTTCCGGAGCAACCCGTGTATGATGCTGGAAAGCAACAGGGTTCTAATCAAGCGCATGCCGTGGTCATTTTTCACTGTCTACCTGACTGGCCTTATTAACTTCGCGCTGTTGTGGGATGGCTTGCTGATGTTTACCTACTACAGCGCGTTGGGCGCCGACGAGTTTCTAACCACCGAAATGCGGAAGCTCCTCTGCTTTATGCTCTTTACCAAGGTATGGAAGATCGTGCCCCATTTTCTGCGGTATCCTTCGGATCTGCTGCTCCTGCCTTACCAGATTCTCTTCGGGTACGTTCACTCATTCATCAAGTTTTGGGCTTTGATTACATTCTGGGACTGCGCATGGCTGGGCCGTAATTTGGACGCGGTCGACGACGAGGCTGAGCACTCAAGGATGCCCCTGAATATGGATTTCAGTTGGGGAGAAGTACGTCCCAATAGACCAAGCTATGGATATCACTACTAGATTCGGTGTTTATCTATTTTCATCAGGTATTTTGTTTTCGTTTCGTTACTGTGTTATGGGATTATCTGATTGCGGTCGTTGCGCATCTGGTTTTGCCTGGCGTTTTACCCCAATTATGTCACGATGAATAAATAGTTGAACCCGTATTGGCTCGAATCCCGCACTCTATCACGTTATTTCCTGTTCCCTATGAAAGGTAGCTTGTATGTCTTTCTACGCCTCGACTAGCCTATTTAGGGCTTGTGTAGTTGTTTACATAGTCTCCACCAACGTGTAGCAATGAGACTACGGGAAGAAACAAGAAAGAACAGACGGCTACCAAGTCGATTTCATAGGTATCTGTGGGATCAATACAAAAGCAGGTACGTACCCATGTGTATTAGTCTTGGAGGCTGTATCCTATTATCTCTAGACTTGCTGTGATCTGGTATCTTTTGCATTATCTACTCCCTTCTCTCAGTGCCGTCCAGCGTAAAGCTCGTGAACATGGTGGCCTCCGTCCATCTCGGGAGGTCTCTGAGAAGTATTGTCAGCCTCAGTTGGTCCCGCTAACGTAGTTTCCGTCTTCAATCCTGTGTATTGGTATTGGGAATAAGCAGGGCTGTCGAAGGTCTCGCCTCCTTTGTCGGGTTGTCCAAGTTTCCTCTTCCTCAGTGCCCTCCATACGAACCAACCGATCACAGACACAACGAGGATGGTACCCAGCGATGCACCGACGGCTATTCCAGCGACGGCCCCCGTGCCAAGTGACTGCGTGTCAAGTGACTGTGAAGATGTCTCGGTCGCGGCAGGAGAGCTTGAGGTAGCCGATGCCTGGCTCTGGCTCGAAGACGTGGGGCTCGAAGCAGCTGCTGTGGTCGTTGCCGCCGTCGAGGCTTCTGTGATGTTGAAATAATGCGACGTAGCAGTTACCGCCCCTGACCCGGAACTATACAGTGCCAGGTAAAAGACCGGCAGAGATAGATCGGCATCGTCGGGGAAGCCGTCATAGCTGACCTCCCATGTATAGTCTAGGGAGCTGTAATTCTCTGGAAGATGGCAGTCAGTAATCGTTCTCAGAGTCACCATGTTGTTGGGAACATACGTAGAATCCGGGCCCAAGACCGATCTCCGGTGGTACTGTCCGCCTTGTTGTTCCAAATCCAGATGTCGCTCAGGGGATCTGACTCCCACACGAAGGTCACCTTTTGACCAAGAGTGTAAATCGGGTTGTCGCTGTAGTCGTTCGTAGGCCCCGGGCCGGGCGGTCGGCGGAATACATCTTCGGCGATTGCAAAAGAGGCAATTATCAGACTGAACAACAGCTCTGTCAGGTAAGACATTGTCTCACTTTTGGGAATAGCCTCATCCCCGGAGACCGTTAAAAAGCAAGATTTGCACACCTGCTCAAGGCACCAGCTATGCCAGAGAAGGCGTATGTCTAGGAGCGAAGGAATCCAACGAGGGCATTTCAACATAAGTAGGTTGGGGCTTTTTATCACCCATCATCCCTGCTTCCACAGCCTGACTTGGCCCCTCTGTTGGCCCTGTTGGGTCTCCTTTTCGGGAATCTGACACTTGATTAAGGATCCATTGTCCCATTCACCATCCAACCAGATCCAAACGTGCCCTTACCAAGGAAGCAACACAGCGCCAGCAAGCCGCAAGGACCAACAGCACCAACGGCAAACAACACCAAGAAATCTGCCTAGCCGCCGAGAAACAGTGCACGTACCCATCCGACCCCCGGCCCCGTCCCGATCAGCAATTGGCTCGTTGCTCGTGGGCGGGGCCGATGACCGCCCCGGCTGCCTGCGAAGGATTCCGAAGCCTACTGCGGTATGCATGCAGGGGCGCGGTCGTCAATTAGTTCGGTACACAGCCCCAAAGTAGTCCATGTTACTTTCCCTTGGAGGATCACGGTGTAAGCACTAACATCTAGACTTCTGAGACCACACAGCTTACCGTTCCATATGGCTACGTACCGGCCTTACACTGCTGCAATCCTCCCAATTTAGGATCCACTGAGGCGACCAGCCACAGTCTCGAACGACTCATCCTCAACATCCAGCCTATCAGCCCCTCCGAATATGAGGCTGATGATAGACTACCGCGCCCGGCTGTTGCAGATCATGGGCGAACTACAATGTGTCCAGTGTAGTCCTCAGGCGTCGTGGCACTTGTCTGTCACGATATAAGTCGAAGATAAAACCCAACTTCAAGTCGGGGTTCAACATCACATATTCAACAACGACAACCACACTCATAGCAAAATACCGAATCACCTAGCACACAAATCGCCAGCCACGACCATGGCTTCCGAAGCAACCAACATCGTCCTCCGCAAGATCACAATCTTCTCCTTCCCACCAGCCTTCATCATCCTCCTCATCCACGGCATCATCTCCAACTGCGCCTTCCCGGCCCTCGGCATCCTGCCCCTCGCCGCCTCCGCCATCCTCGGCCTCTTCATCATCCGCCGCGACCTCATCGCCGCCCTCGGCTCCCCGATCCAGGCCCTCACGCCGTCCAACGTCTTCTTCGCCGACGCCACCCTCGGCATTTTCCACTTGGTCTTCCTCTTCATCAGCTGGGCCTTCATCAGGGAGCCGTGGGACAGGGGCCAGGTTGTCCTCGGCACATATGGAACGGTGCCTTTGATGCTCGACACGTGAGTTGTCTTCCTCCTTTTGTCCTTGCCGGGAATGTTTTTGTAGTTCGAAGCTGACAGTTTTCTGAAATCAGGGCTATTCACCTTTATGTTCTCCTCCCGCAGATTGGGCATATGCTCGTCAGCCGTCGGTGCGACTGCCCTCACTGCCAGAGTGTGAGCAAGACAAGCTACTTCACGACGGGCGTGTCAGAGTACACTCCTCTCAGTGACGGTGACACGGAGCCTGAGGTCCTCGAGAGGGATCTTGAAGCGGGTCACTGAAATGGACACCTAATTAAGATGTCAAGCACAATCGAGTACTGGGGTACAACAGGCTGCTAGGTTTGCGAATTCTTTAGTCACTTCTTGGGGAATATCATCAGAAAGCCCATTAGCATACATCGTAGATATCCCCTAATACGCAAAACATACTCTCCTTGGACATTCGTAAATACGAGCAAAAACATCCCGCGGAACAAATCAGTAATCAGTCCGCCGTCCAAATCGTCTGATAATCAGGACACCTGTCGAGCTCTTCATGACGGCAACTCCCGCCTTCGCGCCGGAACAGAACGCCACGAGAAATAGCAAACCATGCCCAAACAGTCTTGGTCCTCCTTGCGAGACAATGCTGACTCATTCAAAGACATCACCTCCTGAGAAGGACAACATCCGCGTTCCGGAAGCACACCCCCCCGCAAACGTCCGTCCGGCATGATGCCCGCCTCACCCCAAGGTGGCCAGAGCTCCCTTGTTGCCGCCTCACCCAACCAAGTCCTCTTCACAAGCCAAAGAAAGAGAGGCAGAGCTCTCGCAACCTTTTTCGTCCCATCTTCCAAGCACCCCACGCTTCCAATGCATGCGGGGGCATCATCCAATCAAGTAAACGTGCTTTGCTGTTTGCTAATGCGGGTGTAGCCATTGAGTTTCGCACGACATCGTTTCATTCGTCCCCATTCATCTTGGAAAGGCGTATGCAAAACCCGCCCTTCCTGCCCTTCTTCCCGGCCCTTTCCCCCCTGTCCAGCTGGGTGTCTAGCAATCAACGAAACATCTACCCCGGTCTCACAGCACGAGGGAAACATCTTTCACCATCTCGTTATCTACCTTTCCAACATCCCTGACGGCCGGCGTCTTGTCCAGGTGTGATATCAAAACCCAAACTGATCAGACGGAACGAAGGCACGTTCGCCGTGAGCCGCCCTCCCGCACTGCCGCCGGGATATCGACAGTCCGGCAAACCAGCAGTTTATCAAACGCTCGCGTCCCACTTCAGCCGGGGAGCTCGGCGGTGGTGAACCATCGAGCAGCGGGTGTTTCTTTGGATTTCCATCGCAGAGTATTTCTCACAGCATCACATTAGACCTCCCCTTTCGACGTCTCCAGCAGTCCGTCTGCTCCCTACCTGCTCAGCCGCCAACACCAATAAGCCCCCGTCAAGCATCGACGACACGCCCAAGATGTACTTCACCAACCCCGTGGCAAGCTTCCTCACGACCCTCCTCGCCTTCTTCGCCGTCCTCGCCTTGATCCACATCGCCCTGACGACAGTCTACGTAAGTCCTCCCGCCAAACCCCTATCCAAAAGCTTCGGCACCAGAAATCCTTCTAACGATGTCGTCTAAAAGCTAATCTACACCTTCTTCCACTCGCCGATCCGCCACATCCCCGGCCCGCGCTACACCCTCATCACGCACTACCCGCTCAAATACCACATCCTGACCGGCCGCCGCATGTACCACATCCACGCCCTGCACGCCCGCTACGGCCCCATCGTGCGCATCTCCCCGTCCGAGGTCGCCGTCGCCTCCCCCGAGGGCTTCGCCGCCATCCATCGCATCGGCAGCGGCTTCCTCAAGTCCGCCTGGTACGAGGAGTCCACCCGCCCCGACGGCGGCGAGTCCAGCATCTTCGCCATGTCCGACCCGCGCCAGCACGCCCAGCGCCGCCGGCTCCTCGCGCGGGTGTTCACGAAGCAGTCCCTCCGCGCGGACTGGGAGGTCGTCGTGCGGGAAAAGGTCGAGCGCGCGGTCGACAGGATACAGACGGAAGCGGCGGGCGGCGGGCGTTCGGACGTGTTGAAGTGGTGGACCATGATGACGACGGACACGATCGCTCACCTGGCGTTTGGAGAGTCGTTCAATATGTTGGAAATAGGAGAGGTAGGCACCGTCCTAAAATTCCCCCTCTCATCCTCCAGTTCTGCTAACATCGATCCGAAAGAAAAACGACTACGTGAAAGCCCTCGAGCTAATCTCCATCCAAAACACGATGCGCTACGAGCTGCCCCTCCTGCACTTCCTCCAACGCCTCGTCCCCTTCAAGCCCCGGCAGGGCCCGCCGGACGCGCAGCACGTGCTCAAGGTCTACGGCAAAAAGGCGGTCGCCAACGTCCGCAAGCACAGCGGCGACCGGCCGAACCTCTTCGGGCGCATGATCGAGGCGAGCGAGGCCGGCGAGAAGCAGTGGCTGACGGAGGAGGTCGTCGAGTCCGAGGCCAAGAGCATGATCATCGGCGGTTCCGACACCACCTCGGTCACGCTCACGTACCTCGTGTGGGCCGTCCTCAAGCGCCCGGAGCTGCGCGCGCGGCTCGAGGAGGAGGTGGACGCCGTGGGCGCCGGGTTCGACGACGCGGTGCTCGAGAAGCTGCCGCTGCTGAACGCGGTCATCGACGAGACGCTGAGGCTGTACGGGGCGGCGCCCGGGCAGCTGCAGAGAGTGGTGCCGCCTAAAGGGATCACCATCGGGGGCTACTACATTCCTAACGACTTTACGGTCGAGACGCAGGCGTACACGCTGCATCGGGATCCGGAGGTCTGGCCTGACCCGTACCGGTGAGTATCACGAGTCCCTCACCACTTGGTGTGGGTGCATGCTAACGATGATGGACAACACAGCTTCGATGAGACGAGGTTCTTGGACCACAGCAAGCTTACCCCGCAGCAGAAGCTTCTCTTCTCACCTTTCGGGGCGGGGTCCCGAATTTGCTTGGGCATTGAGCTGGCGAGGATGGAGATGCGCCTGGCCACGACGGTCCTCTTCAGGAGGTGCAAGGGGCTGAGACTCGCGCCGGGCACCAACGACGAGACCATGGAGATGGAGAACTTTTTCATGATCAACCCGCGCGGGCACAAGTGTGAGGTGACAATGCCGTGAGAGTCGATGACGGCCGAGCCCGGATCCGGATCCGGAGTCTTCGGGGCCGTGCATGGGGCAAAGGGCGGGCCGAGAGATGTGTGCAAGGAGTCAGTGACATCGGGCTTTGCAGCTGCTGTCTAAAAAGATCCATAGACTCTCCACAAACGGCGATAGAAGTGACGCAAATCACGATCCCGAAAGAACCGATGTCCCGCGGCGAGTTGAGTGTTACTGGGTGATGAGATGACTCCTCACTCGCACGTCTTGCCATCGTGGCCAGGTCCTTGGTAAACGCACGTGGGGGGGGCAATGAACCGCAGAACCCACCATAGCTTTACTCGGTAGTATAGAAGAAAAAAAAAAAAAAAAGGTAGCGTGATGAGCTCACGGAATTCTCAAAAGATTTTCAGATGAACGACTCATGCGTCGCCTCCGCTGATCCCAGAAGTGGGGGTATGAACCACAGGCGCGAACGGCTTTTGGAGCCTCTGGACCGCGCCCCTACAAAGCACCGCGGTCACAGTCAAAGGCACTAACTAACATCCAATTCGTCTGCCCAAAGTGCTCATCCCCGGACCCACCGCCGCGGCCACTTGGAAAGAATTTTTACGTACCTGTAATTCAGACCGGTCCATCAATCTCAGCTGGCTGCGAGACCGGAGAAGTGGGAGAAGCAATCCCAGATGTTCTGCCAGCGCATACGATGCGTTTGTGAATGGAGCTGTTGAAGCCGTATGGGCTGCCAGATGGCTCTCAAACTCCGCCAAGACCACGTAGGGCTGCCAGACCGAACGCAGACCGAGAGCGCAGCGCGGCCAGCTTCGGTGAGAAAAGGGGCTATCTCGAGACGTCAAAACCTTCAAATGCACTCAAAGTCACTTCTCGCCCCCCCGCGACCCCACCGGTGCCAGGAACGCCCCGCGACCAGGACGATGATGCCATCGCGTAGCCTCCGGTTTCGCCATGGGGGAACCTGAAATTTTCGTAGACCAAATGTAGTATTTGACTAGATTCCGATCCTAGCCCCTTGGCTATCTCGTCTTGTCGTTCCCTCGCACGTCGCATTCCACCCTGGAGACTTGACAGTTTGAAGAAGTAACCCTTCTCGTCTTCCAGCCATGACCGCGTACGAGTCCGACAGGCGCGCCCAGTCCATCGGGCCCGCCGCCGAAGACGACGCCGTCCGCGACGTCGAGAAATTCGGGGGCGCCGACGACCACCATGATGACAAGGCCGCCATCCTCGAGCCCCAGCTCAACGTCGGCGGCCACGGTCGCACCCAGCGCCGCCTGCGCGACTACCAGGTCACCATGATCGGATTCTGCTCCGGCATTGGCACCGGCCTGTTCATCGGCACCGGCTCCGCCTACGCCAACGCCGGCCCCGCCGGCCTGCTGCTCGCCTACATCGTCGTCGGCGCGGTTCTTTGGTGCGTGATGCAGAGTATTGGAGAGTTGGCGACTTTGGTATGTTGTCATTCACAACAGAGCTTCTTCCGGTTTTGTTCATCATGTCTTCTAACCACGACCACTTACAGATCCCAACCGCCGGCTCCTTCCCCCACTGGGCCACCCGCTTCATCGACCCCTCCGTCGGCTTCTCCCTCGCCATCTCCTACGGCTACTGCTACACCATCGCCATCGCCTCCGAGGCCTCCGCCGCCGCCATCCTCGTCGGCTACTGGACCGACATCACCCCCGCCGTCGTCATCACCGTCTCCCTCGTCCTCATCCTCGCCTGCAACCTGCTCAGCGTCCGCTGGTACGGCGAGACAGAGGTCGCCGGAGGCACTATCAAGGTCCTCTGCTTCATCGGCCTCGTCTTCACCTCCATCATCATCACCGCCGGCGGCGGGCCCAACCACGAGGCCATCGGCTTCCGCTACTGGCACAACCCCGGCGCCTGGGTCGACTACAACGGCATCAGCGGCTCGACAGGTCACTTCCTCGGCTTCGTCGCGGCGTTCATCAACGCCTCGTTCTCGTTCATTGGGTAAGTTGAAGCAGTGTTGAATTTCCGTCCGCAGAGAGACAAGAAGCACGGTGCGCCCCGACCGGTTCCGGTTCGTGCGCAAGCTGTTGGTGAATGGCTGACAGCTGGCCGCTGTGTTATTGCAAAACACCATGGACGATGCTTTAAGATCACCATCATCAACACCACACTTTTGCTTCACTTTTCGTCATCAGAAATGAAAGAAATGAGTGCTGACAAGAAGTCGTAGAATTGAGACCGTGGTGGTTACTGCCGCCGAGTCCGTGAACCCCCACAAGGCGATCCCTAATGCCGCGCGCCGCGTCACCATGCGCATCGGCTTCTTCTACATCTTCGGCGCCCTGCTCATCGGCCTCATCGTCGACCCCCGCGAGCCCGGCCTCGTCTCCGGCTCCGGCAACGCCAACAGCTCGCCGTGGGTCATCGCCATCCGCCAGGCCGGCATCAACATCCTGCCCTCCATCGTGAACGCCTGTATCCTCGTCTCCGCCTGGTCCGCCGGCAACTCCTACTGCTGGGTCGGCTCCCGCATGATCGTCGCCATGACCACCGACAGACAACTCCCTCAAATCTTTGGCGTCACGAACAAGCAGGGTGTGCCCTACGTGGCCGTCATCACCGCCTGGCTGTTTGGTCCTTTGGCTTATCTGAGTAAGTTGATATTGGGGGACAAACCCCCTGATTTTCGTCTCAACACAGAAACTAACCGAGCCCCGCAGGTCTTGGATCGGGAGGTGCCGCTGACGCCTTCAACTGGCTCCTCAGTCTGAGCACAATCGCCGGCCTCATCGCCTGGGCGACCCTCTGCTTCTGCTACATCCGCTTCCACCGTGCCATGAAGGTCCAGGGCGTCAGCCGCGACACCCTGCCATGGAAGGCGCCCTTCCAGCCCTACGCCGCCTGGTTCGGCTTCGTCGGTTCCACCGTCATCACCTTCGTCGCCGGCTTCTCCGTCTTCCTCAAGGGCAACTGGTCCACTGCGGACTTCGTCTCTTCCTACATTGGAATCCCCATCTTCATTGTGCCCATCATCGGCTGGAAGCTTTACCACCGCACCAAGGTTTGTCTGCTTCCTTGTCAAGACATAGATGGTCAAGTTGCTAACATGAGCAGTTTGTTCGTGCCCACGAGATCGACCTGTGGTCAGGTCGTCTTCACGAGTCAGAGTACGTCCCTGAAAAGTCGAAGCCAAAAAACTTCCGCGAGCGCGTCAGCCAGTGGTTCTCATGACCTTGGTGCGCCGGGGCTAGATAGAAGACTACTCCCCCAAAGGCGTTCAACACGCCATGATGAATGTGTAATATCATAATAATTGAAAGAAGACAATTTTGAATCCTTCTGCAGAAGCGAGACTGCTGCCTTGGGCCAAGCACAATGAATGACGACATATTCTTGGGTCGTCCGCGGAGATAGACGGTGTCCAATCTCGTGATCCGGGCCACCGACATGGCTTCATGTGCGGTGTCAAGTCTAATCGAGAGGCTGCCATGCAAGTCCAGCCCTGTGGCATTGACGAAATACGTCACACAAGAAACGCTTGAGAAATCGAACACGGTCTGGGTCGTACTCTCAACTCGTGAGCTCGCTTGCATCCAGGCGAAGACATCCTTTGGCGAGCGGCCCACTACTACAGGCTCGCACTTTGAAAGTCTCCATAGCGGGAGGCTTCGCTTCCCGGCTGCGATCCCCTGTTCCATCCCCGTTTATCTCCTTTGCGGGTGGATAACGTCCGCGAGCTTGACAGAAGGAGTGAAAGTTCCCCTGCTGCATTCTAGTCTCCTCGGGTACTATGGCCGCGGCAACCCATCAGGCCACCAGCCTGGTTCCGTAAATCCTGCGTCAGCAGCTAATGCCGGGATCTCCGCGATATTGAAGGGTAGTCTGCCATTCAAGCGAGAGCCATCGGATTAGGCAGAAGAATAAAAAAGTTGCGGGCCAACAAAAGTCTCGAACTAGCGGCCCAAAGTCCCTTCGTCACTGTGATTAATGGCGGTAGACGTGTGTGATGGAACAGTAACAGCGACTGACTCGATGGAAGAGCGGTGGAGTAGGCATCCAAGAGCAACCAGAGGGCAGTGAACGAGCAATGAGTGGCCTTTTTCCACTATAAGGACCCTCTGCGCTGGCAGACAACGTGACGACAGGTAGGCAATGTGTGAAATGCAGAAGCGCGATGCCACTCGGTTCGTTGCGTGAATGCTTGGCGTAAGCACAGCGTGGTCCAGGGTCTAATCTGCTCAATGAGGTTTAGCGAGTGCTGCAAAGATCTCGGCCGGTCCGTACAGCGGCCCAAGTAAACGGTTGCGAGACCCTGATTCGCCTGTCGGGCTAAAACGCCGTTGGTTGGCGACGTCTGACATGCCATTGGTGCTGAAGCGGTACGGCCCTGAAGGAGTTTAAACTGCATTGGGGCCAGGCTGAAGCCAAGCCGGTTGAGACTCAAACGCGGGGCATCAGGTGAAGCTGGGTCTTGGATGTCATATTTCGCGGGATCGTTCCTCGGTTAAGCGAGGTTTTCGCGATAGTGCGCTTCTTGCTTCGATATGGGGACCAAAGAGATACCGTGAGATCATATTAAGGGCATGAAGCTGGTGCTGTAATACTTTGCCTCTTTTGTGAGGTTGGGCTCAACAATTGTTTGGGAAGGATCGAAGCAAAACACTGCCACCTGTCGTCGCAAAAGACTTTGGGAACCGTTGTATGCTTCTCTGGGCCCGTGTGGTGTACCTGAAATAAGGTGGCTTGGAACTGACAGTCAGTTTGTTGAGGCCGTGTCCAGACGCACCAGTCTCGTCGTATTATCGGCCTATCGATGTGACCGCTGCCATATCCCGCTGCGCTAAGGAACTCAACGATACCTGAAAGGTTCAGAGGAACATCTCCACTGACGTTTGTCCATTTTCACCCATGCTTCTCCAGCGAGGCAGCAAGGAACCGAGCACTGCCAGCAAAGAAGCTCTAGGCGACAAGATAAACCATCCCAGGATTCCGTTATGGCGTCAAAAGTCCGAGGCAGGGTCCGAGGC